AAGTTACTCTCTCTCTCTCTCTCTCTCTCTCTCTCTCTCTCTCTAGCTCTTTCTCTCCCGCCTAGTCATAGCAACATTTCTTTTCATTTTTTCTCTTTGTTATTATTTTCCTTTTTTCTTTTTTTTCAATAACATAACGTAATATAAAGCTTGAACAAAAATTAAAAAGAAAGATGAGACTTCGGAAATTTATCAATGCGAATTTATACTTGTAATTACATTCGCCAACATTCTCGAAGTTTCAAACAAGAGACCTCAATTGCTTTTGCGATTACACGATGAAGGAACGCGTTTTATGTTGCGCGACAAATCTTTCCACAAAATCCCACGTATCGACTCGCTCGCTACTTCAGAAATTTCAGCAAATTTCCGTGCATTCGTACCTTCATCACCGTATGAGTCACCGATCTTTCGTACGCGGGCGCTTATTTTATTGTACATTAGAGACGTCGAGGATTGAGCATACAGCTCGACAAATAACTATAAATAATGCCATTTTATAACGTTCCTTGCATATTCGGCGGATCGCCTTTCATCTCCGAGTCCGAAATATTTTAATAATCGGATGCAATCTGAAGGAATCGCGGTCTACGTAGGCGACGTCCACGAAGTACTCGACTCATGCTTAGTTTTGCGTTACCTTGTTACCGTCATTGGATTTGATTATCAATTGTTCTTTACTCTTTTGTGAAGTACGTGCGTTTCAAATGGAATAGATTTATTCTCATTTACGAACGCGTTTTCTCATAGTAAATGGTTAGTGCATATTAATAAAGTCAAATTTGTTATGTTGTAACTTACAATTGTTGCATTACATTAAAATGGCATTAGAGCTAATTAAAATCCTGGAAATTTTAATTTGTTCCTCTACAGAATTAGATATATGCAATAGCATTTTAAAATGTAGATGATATTTCACATGCGTTTGTAAAAAAATCACAAGATCAATGATCAAAATGTACAAAAAATATTACCTAATTTGTGACTCTTTCCAATTATGTTTACCCTACCCCCCCCCCCTGGAGAAACTTGCCTAAGATGAAAAAAAATGTCAATAGCCGAAACTGATGATAATGATGATGATAATGAGAAATAGTAGCGATAAGCAAAGAGAAAAAAAAACAGGAGAGATAGCGGATAACTTTATCATACAGCCTATTCCGAGATTTTCGATTGGCTGTCGCCAAAGAGAGTGGGGTATTATGAGAATTCGTAGTAGGAGGTAGGGGTTGTTGAATGAGTAGCGGAGATCGCTCAGCCTCCTGACGCATTTGGTCGCATCCACCCCAACGGTTAGCCGGTAAACCATATAGCCGTACGGTTCCGCATCCGAGCCGTGAGTCCGCCGAATTCGAATTTGCTCCGAAAGTGTATGGCTGAGGAAGTGGAAGCGCAAATCGAACGAACGAACGAACGATAGATCGGCGTATTCCGAAGGTACGTCCTCTTTCCGTGATCAAGAAATCAACAATTTTCTTAATCTGCCTAAGAAGTTATATAAAGCGAAGGAACGTTCTTGTAAAAACTTTCCTGTAACACCATGATATCAACTTGACAGATTTTACCGCGGATATTGTGTACTGACTTTATAAATTATTATAATTTTATTGTTGAATTTCTACGGAATTTCCATGTTATTGTGATAGAAGCATCTATGTAGAGTAATATCATAATAAAATAAGAGAAATATTAAGAGAAAAAATAATTAGATTATTATATAGTGAAATTAATTTAAAATAAATAGTTTAAAAAATCTGATCAAAATTTGATTTCTTAATTTCTTGCTAGAAAGTACAAATAAATTTATCATATTTATTATATATTTATATAATCATAGTACAGAAATATATTCACTGTGTAAATATATAAATATATAAATTATATAAATTATTTAACTTTATTTGAAGATTTTAAAATCAAATATATTATAGCGTTTTACTTTCGTATATATCTACTATATGTATAAATTTTGTGTATAGTTTTTAGAATAATTAATATAAGAGTTATTTTACTTGTTAATTTCGCTCTAAATATAAAAAATAGTTATTTATACAGAATTCATTTAGTTATACAAAATTCATTTAGTTATACAAAATTTATTGTCTGTTTGATATATTGTTAAATATAATTATCAATTTCATAAAAATTTATTATTTAACTCTCGAGTTACAAAAAAATAAAAATGTGATAAAACATTTTTGTACCAGAGACTTTGTAAAATTTTTTTGTAAACAATTTAACTATAAAAACATGCAACTACATATAAAAATATATCCAATTTTTATAAATTTGCTTTATAATATTATAATAAATTATAATAAATTATAATTATGTCTGTCAAGTGTCACATTTAAGTTGTATTTTTTTTTACAGACTTTCTTTTATAGACACCTTCTGATATGCCCAATCATAAATCTAATTTATATTTAAAATAACATATAATTTGACCTTACAAACTTTGTGTCTCCTTTTTGATGAAAAAAGCAAACATAACTTCATACTTATTTATATCTTCTTTCATTTCTCCATCATACTTCTCTTCTTCAATTCACAACCAATTCATATTATTCGACATGCATTTAATTTTTTTTTACGTTCTATCATAGATAATAAAGTTCAGAAAAAACCTACAAAAAAATTTTTGTTAATAACAATTTAAATTATTTTTTACGTATTGATTTTTACGGTATCTTCCTACATCCGTATAATTCTACTAAAATTCCGAAATTCTATTACTATTTTTATTCTGCTACTATCATTACTATTTTTATTCTTAAAATTCTGATGCCAGCAATGCCGCTTTTGCTAAAGTAATTCGTGTAATGAAATTTTATGGGCAATTAATGGCATATATTACCATGAATGTGAATTTACAAATAATTTAAGCTAAACAGCTTCTTTGCAATAAAAAAGAATACACAATAAGAAAACATCAAAAACCATATGCAAGAAAAATTTCAAAAAGATTAGTACCAATAAACTTCTTTCACAAATTACTCTTTAATTCCTATTCTTTGCTTTCAAGTATAATTTGAAGGAATCCCCAAACAAATTTTTAAATATTGAGCAACAAACACATAGAAAAGCAGAGCAATGGAAAAATAAAAGAAAATATAAGTTAATAGAAGATACATTATTTTTGTTTTTTTATTAAAAAAGGTAGTAAAGTTTTCTATTTCAAATATATTTTACTATGCGTCATGTACCTCATTATGGTCGCATATTCTCATTGCTGTCAGAAAAATATCAGTTACACATTCGCGATTCCGGATGTCCCACGGTATTCCTCGATTCTTTTACTCCGCCTGAACGTTGAAGAATAACGTCTTTCTCCTCCACACCGCACATTTACTTATCGTCACGCTGTGTCGCACGGGTGCACGAGTATATGTGTGCTATACGAGTATATACCGTGGTGCTAAAATTAGGAGGAATGTTATATAAATAGTATCAACCGTTGCAGAAATTTCGTGGGAGAAGAACGTAAACAGCATACCCGCCTGTCGACAAGATCACTATCGTGGTGATAATTAACATTCGTCGAGTCGAGTAACAAACGAACCTGCGGGGTGCATCGAACACGAGACGCGTGATAGTAAAAGACTTTCTTGCACGTTCAACATTTCTCGGCATTATTTCTATCCAAGCAAACATTCGTCCCAAAACGATCCTTATGGACGATGTTACGATACATCGCTAAAATTATGCCGAACATTCACGGGGGCGTTTCTTCACGAGGTGTTTGTCATCCATTTTTCAGAATGTTGAAAACAAAATATCTGGAGAGAGAAAGAGAGAGAGAGAGAGCGAACGGCCTACAATGAGTTATTTCGGAAGCGAATAGAAAGAATTTTTATACAAATAGATATATATAAATAAACTCGAATCGATCTATTTTAATGAGACCACTAAATAATTTATTTTCAAACAATACAATTAAATGCGAGAATATAAATTTATTTATCGAATTTTCATGTAATCGATTTTATAAGTTTATGTATTTAAGTTTTGTATTTATAAGATTTAAATGTATAATATTTAATATATAAGGTAAGAGCATCAGAAGTAGATCAAGCAACAATTCTAAATCATTCAATAAAATATTAAATGATTTAAAAAAATTAGTAAAAAAATGTTATTTCAGAGAAAAGTCATTATAATTTTAATAAATTGTAAAAAATATTTAAAAAAATTTATGCACATATGTCCTAATTATCATCACTTTGATGACTTACTAAACTCAAATGTTTTATTTTCTTTTTTAGAAAGAAAACGAGGCTGTGCAAACGACGTTTTGTTAGCAGTAATATTACGACGATAACTGAAAATTAATCTGACGAGGCGCCTACATTTTACGGATAAAAAATTAGGATGAAGGCTCTTTCTAGAATGCTCCTAGTATTGATATTGAATATATTGTGGGCAATGACTGGTTATACAGCACCGTTATTAGATGCAAAGAATACTTGGAATCGAAATATTTTTGCACCTGTGATCAAGACAACATGCTCTTCCAATGGGCAATGCTGGGGATGGTTACCGATGTCAGAAATATATGATAACAACATACCCAAGGAAGACAGCGATCCTATAAGGTACATTTATATATGACATAATTTATTTCTTATTTATTTCTTACCTCCTAATCTTTCCTAATCTTGAATTCTTAATTCTTCTAATCCTATTCTTTCTTTTTCACTTCTAATTTTAACTTGCATATCATTTATCTTTAACATGTAAAATGAATGGATATATTAATGTTTATATCATCTAAATAAAGTAAGTATTATATATTTTTAAGAATTGATAACTTAAATCTCTAAAAATTCTTAAAAATACTTTTCTCCCCAAATACCAGTCTTAATATTATACTGTATAATTAATCATTGAATATTTTCTCCCCAAATACCAGTTGTCTTAATATTATACCGTATAATTAATCATTGAGTATTTTCTCATATTTGACAGATTGCAATCTCGACGTCATATTACGAACCCGGCATCCGATTTCATGTTGAGATCGCGGAAAGATAATACATTAGAAGAATCGGGACGGGAAATTCGAGCGTCTCTAAGTAACAAACAGATGCCTATTAGAATCACGAAGAAGGATGTGTTCAAATCCCGTAGTTGGGGTGCCGGCGGTATGCCCTTTTCCGTTCTATACATGAATCCACATGGCTCGCGATCGAATCACGCGGTCGCGACATCAAGTAAGTGTTGCATTAATATAGTATTAATGGAAACGATTTTTCTAAAAACATTTAACAAAAAATAATAAATATATATGTATATTTACAGCAGCATCTCAACGACAGGACTTGAGTGTGACGACCGAGAGTTCAACATTCACAGAACATTCTAATTCACGCATCGGTTCACGAAATGGCCAGCCTACTGTACCACCAAGAAAACAATATTGGACCATACCTCAGTTGTTTATATCGTACGGTTGGGGCCCTTTCGGAAAATAAAGACAAGTAGCGATGACATGCTCAATATGACATGCTCGCTATGAAAGAAAATGAGACGAAAAGTGAGAGAGAAAGAGATTAATTAATCTTCGTAATAATTAATATTGTAATAAATAATTACAAGTATCAATTTTTGTTGCAACTGTAATTAATTCATTCTAAGACTGCAATTTGCATCTCTTTCTCTGTGCCATATTTTCTTTATTATGTAATATTGCGTAAATAAATTTTTTATCTAAATATATCGCATCCATTTAAATGTCAAATAGCGTTTAAAAATTATAGAGGATATCTATGTTATAATCGAAAAAAATTTTATCCAATATACATATATAGTATAAAAAAATAAAATTTGGCTCACCATTCATTTCCTTCATTGCCTTGATGAAATCTTGTGGATCCTTAAAGGATACAAATCCAAAACCTTTGGTTTTATTTGTACGTTTGTCTCTGACCACCTTCGCTTTTTGAAAACTGGGATATTTTCCAAATACTCTTACTAACATTTCGTCAGTGACATCGTTTCCAAGATCTCCGCAAAATATTCTGAAATCATCTGCACAATATAAAAAGTATTATTATATCTTTGTTATATATGAGACTTAAATAATTTGATTAGTTAAACTTATTATATTATTAGTTACTTATTATATTATTAGTTACCTTCGTCCCATTCTAACAATGAAGGATCTTCCCACGTTTGTCCACCGGCTGTTCTTATAATCTTCTTATTTTTCTTTCCTTTACCTTTGGGATGACTCTCCTCTGCACTAGCGTTAGCCATAATGGAACTTGCTTTTCCTTGACTAATAGCTAGTTCAGCCGCTGTGCTGACACCCTTAACTTTTGGTTTTTTTTTACCTTCGTCTTCAGGAATTTTTGTGTTGATAATCTGTTCGATAATTTCTGGATGAATCATTGGCGCTGATGAAGAATCGTATGTTTTTGGTGTTGCACTTAAACATGGATCCACCATATTTGACATATATGGATTGCTTATTTGTGCGGGCGACGAATATGTTGTGATAGGAACTGTACCTATAATAATTACCATTAGATTTGTAAACTTTGCTGAATTATTTTTAAGTATAATATATTGAGTATATTACAAATCTCACCTTGTCGAGCTACTTGCTGAGGAATCAGCATTGGTGGTGGTGGAGGAGGAGGAGGAGGTGGCGGTGGTGGTGCAAAGCCAATCATCGGAGGAAACGCTAGTGTCGCTGCCGCAGCTGCTGCAACTACTGGGGTAGGAAGTTCATGTTGCTCTAATTGCCTAGCAACCTGGTTGTATGTATTTGCACCGATTACTGGTCTTACAATTGGTGTTACAAGCTGTCCTCCAATTTCAGCTTCAAATCTAAAATATACATTTGTTGAATCAATGACTTAGGAAGATTAGAAAAAGAAAATAACAATAAAATTTTGTATCTTTTGCCAAAAAATAACACTATTTCATTTTCCACATGTTGTAATTCAATTCATTACTTTATAGTAGAAGTAACATACATGCAAAGATACATTCAAAATATATAAAAATAAAAGAATGAGCTATAATACTAATAATAAGAAAGAAAATAAAAGTTAATCTAGAAAATTCTAGAAAATAAAGGTTAATCGAGTCGAGCGTTATACCTGTTCATCTCATCTTCCATTTGTCGAAGTTTGTCGTCCATATCTGCAAGCTAGTCGTTTGCCAAATTGCAACTATAATACGCACGTGCGTTTATCTGAATACAGTTCACAATAAATAGAATAAATTAATTTTCTTTTATAAAAGATAAGAAATTCTCACAGTTACTCCAACGCTCGAGTAACATAACCTAACCTAAGCTGCGGTCTTGCTACAGTCCAATTTTACACTATAATGTTTCCAAGTTTGATTGACCAATAGGATGAAGAATTCTGATTGACCAATTGAAGAATGCTTGAAGTATTTGACGAGCATTTGGACAAATTTTCATGACTATCAAATGAGTTTTGGAAATAATCATAATTTTTAATTGTTTACATAAATTACTTACGTTTATATTAATATACTTAAATTAAATAAATTCATGATTTTTTTATCATATAAATACTTTATAATAAGTATATAGTACGCATTTATAATACTATACAAAGTTATAATTTTTTCCACAATTACATTATTAAAATATTATCAAATTATAAATATATATGTTTAAGAGGAACATTAGGATAATATTAAAATATTATATAGTTATTCGTTTAAATTTTAATAGTAATTTCTATAAGGGTGCAGTCCACTTGGTGCGGTCCGCTTGGTGCTACAAATGCTTCGAAACTTTTGTAACGCTAAATCGACCATAGCCTAAAATTATCACTAGGCTAAGTTCAGAAATACTGAATGTATCATTTTATTCTCATTGTTCATTGAATATTACACAAGGATAAAATAATATCTAGTATGGAATATTATTTCTGAACGCATTATTATATTTCTGAACGAATATGCGCATGCGCAGCATTATTGCATAGGTGTATGATTAGTGCACAGTTGAAAGGTTAACAACACAGTTGAATCAACAATTGTTCGCACGCATTCACTATGAAGAATATTTTGTGTTTATTTGTTATTTGTGCCAATTTCTGCGGGCGATACGCGATAGCGGAGCATGAGGAAGACACGTCCACAGATCTGTTTGTAATCGAAGGGAAGGTGTTCCCCTGGGATAACGTCGCCTCGATGGGGTGGCAACTCATGACGCATGTGATGGTAAATGGAGGTGAACATTATGGCTTTCTGAGGTATGTAGTTATGCGTAATATAAATAAATAAACTTACGTATTTGGTATGTCGACGATATATTAATCGAATGCATTTTATTTTTATTTCAGAGAAGACGGCACATTTATAATCTCGAATGTCCCATCCGGATCATATATGGTTGAAGTGGTGAATCCAAATTACGTTTACGAGCCAGTCAGAGTGGAAATTAATTCCAAAGGGAAATTTCGAGCTCGAAAGGTCAATTTGATACAGACGTCACAAGTGATTCAAGTACCTTATCCATTGAAAATGAGACCTCTAGCACCGTTTCGATATTTTCAAGTTAGAGAGCAATGGCGGATAACGGATTTCTTGTTCAACCCTATGGTAACAGAACTTTTAGTGATATATATATACAATGCATATATTTTGACTTACATCTCTTGTTAAAAACATGATGTCTTTCTCTTTTCTTCAGGTTTTAATGATGGTTTTGCCACTTATACTAATCATGATTCTGCCGAAAATTATGAATGATCCTGAAACTAGGAAGGTAAGAAGATCTAAAGATCGGCCAAAAATTGAGTGACCCTAAAAACTAGACAGGTTTCTTTAATATATAGAGATTAAATAAGAGATAATACTGTAAGATATTTACACCGTCTATATAAATTATTACATGATTATTATACGATTTAGCATGTATTCCATATATTCTAGTCTTTGACAAAGTCATAAACTAAATGCATTTTGTAGGAAATGGAGCAATTAAATAATCTCACTATCTATAATATGCCCGAAATGTCTGAAGTAATAACGTCTTTTCTTTCTGGAGGAGAAAAACAAAAATCAAAGGCTGTAAAAGCTGCTAAGAAAAGACAATAATGTATTAATTTAGTTTATTCTGTAGATCGATCTGTAGATCGATTGTATGTATATGTAGATTGATTGTATGTATATGTTTACTCTAGTCTTTAAAATATATTAAGATATCGACGAAAAGCCAGAAATATTTCAATTGCTTGCATTATGTAAGATTGTGGTTGTTAATATGTTAAAGTGGAACAGTTTGATTGTTTACCTCTTGCGGTTCTATAGTTGCAAAAAGCAGTGTGATTTCATAAAATAGTAGAAAAAATTTTGTACGAATGTAAGTAAAAAAACTTAACTTGATATAATAATACAGTATGTACAATAATTATATTTCACGTTACCGAAACACCATCTTATTACACTTTCTTGTGTCGGTCACTCGCTGTGATGTCTAGGTTAATCTTATGTAAGATATTGTCCAGGCACAAGATACATAAGATACACAATTTTCTAAATTATTAAAAGCATGTATTTATAATATTATAAATAAACGATAACTATGTATTAATACATAATTTAATTCCATAATACTGTTGTACAAATGTTATTTTATGTTAAGTAATTAATCTGTTATTTATCATATAAAAATATATGAAATGGGATATAGGAAAACAGCGTAAATACGTTAGATATTTTCGACTCAATATTCTTTAAGAAATTGTAACAAATTTATAACGGCTGCTAATAAAATTTTCAATAAAAAAAGCTTGAATTCAAGAATTGATTCTTTTGAAATGAGTTTCTAAACACATGTTCCTCGCAGAATCTCAGGCATCCTTAAAAGAGATTCTTAAAGAGATCTATTTTTAAAAATATATCTATATCAATGAATGATTATGATGATGCGCTTTTTTATCTATATGCTAATATATAAATGTTATTATTAGAAAATATATGTTATGATTTATGTTAAATAATTAGCCCTTAGAGTGAATATAATTTGAGAGCATAATAGCGATGGGATCTGGAATCTTTTATACTTTTTAACATTTATTATAATTTTACACTTTTTAACTTAAATTTAAAAATTTTCAAAAAAAAAATCATCAACACGATTAAAATGCTTTGAACATGAACGATCTAATTAAAAGTAAATATAAGAAAATTCATATAAATAATTCATAATGGTGTTATGTACAAAATACAAAGGTGTTAAAGTGTATAATTAAAAACAAATATATAAAAATAAAATATTATACACTATGTGTATGATAATATTATGAGCATAGGAAACAAACAGTACTTAGGAGGACACTTAAAAGTTATATATTACATAGTAAAAAACCGGCTGGCACACATCACTACTGAATTAGTTTTCGAGAAATGACTAATACATAGATCTGAGTTGTCCGATCTACGCACATCTGCGGTTTGCGTCGAAAGCGCAGAGAAGACTACGCAAGATAGAAAGATGTGACTTCTATATATTTTCTAGTAAGATATTTTCGTTCAAAAAAGTAAATAGAGTTTACTCTTGAGTTTACAGTTGGAATATTTTCAACTATTGCGAGATAAACTCTGCGAGTATAACGCAGCGATTTTTTTTTTTTTTTTTAAGCAAAAGATATGCAATTGGGGAGAAAGAGAGAAGTGATGCATTTGACTAATGTCAGGAAGCGGGACCGCATCGTCTGGGAATTGACAAAGATGAAAAAAAGGAACGTGAGAATAAAGATGAGCAATCACAGGCATGATTCAGCGGTCAACGATGCACGAGGAGCTGAGGAGTAACTTGGCCGAGAGCGAGAACGGCTGAGTGTACCGCTCTTCCGGGAATCCATATTTCGCCAATCGAGTATCCGGCTCGGCCGTGGCTCGCCTCCAATTTCGTTTCATTCAAGTCGACAACGATTAGATCGAAGCATCGCTTCGAGACGCGATTACGCGATGTTGCGATCCCTTTTATCATGGCGATTACATTATTCCCCTCCGTTGCGAACGAGAAAATTAATTGAATCAACGTGCGCTCGAATTAATTCATAACGTGCGGAATGCCTGAGGGAAAAACGTCATGGCATAGATTTGTACATATTTATAAAAAAAAATATTTATAAACGGTGCGTGGAAACAAAGACGAAGTGATTGAGTGTGACGCGAAAACGAATGGACGCCGAATGGATAATTCGATCTTGATCTTGGTGAAGAATACCGGACTCGTGAGGCGTGGTTTTGCTTGAAAGGATCCGGCTTTATAAGTTATAGCCAACAGCGAGGATACTCATTATCATTCGAAATGAAAAATGGCGACGATGAATGATCGATTCTCGAAGAAAAGTCGCGAATTCCCTCGTGAAGATGTGAATATTCCACAAAAATCGAACACCTTGCATCGAATAACATCTGGAACGATAGATTGCAGTTTGAATTCGGAGTCGGAATCGAAATTGAGCTATAAACAAACTTACACGATACATTCGCAGGTGCATACAGCAGATAACGTTGAAATTATGAAACGCGGAACCGTGTCGAAAAATGATAAAAAGAACAATGACGAAGATTCGGATGATTACTTTGAAACCGAACAAATCATGGTGCCATCCGGTAAATATCTGATCAGTGAATAAGGAAGGAATAACAGTCCCAATTAAATCCTTTAAGGTTAAAATGGCTTATTTATATGTGCAAATTTATTAATTAAACATTAAAAAAAAATATTAATACTTAATATAAGTGGCAAATATAAAATAATAACATTACGTTAATGTTATAATTTATTCAGCCATGTAACTATCATGTATAACATATGTGTTATATTATATTTATTGCTATATGGGAAATTATATTAATGTAATGTTACTGTTAATTTGCGTTTATTAGAATATTGCAATTGAGAGACATTACATTTATTTTTATTTTTATGTTTAATATTAAATTACTTTTATATTAATAATATTCAACTTATTTTGATTTATCTTACCATACATAATAGTGTATTTAATATATTCATTATAACACAATTCATTATAAGTTATATATAAGTCAAGAAGTTATCAAAGAAGATTATCATTTCTCTTTCTTCTCTTAAATCTTAAAAATAATTTTATGCTATAATAAATATAAAGATACTAAAGGACATAAAAAATATTTATATATATGTATTTGTAATATATTAATTTGATAAGTTTAAATTAGGGCACAACACGGGACAGTTACCTCAACAGATGAAAACTTCATCTTAAACTTATATGCCAAGAAACATATTCAGATCTGGCAAGAAACATATCCAGATTTTCATCTTTCAGATCCGTCTGAATGGAATTCGAATCACATACATGAATGGATTTTATGGTGTAGTCGGACATTCGCGGACATAAGATCAGAATCCATCGCGGCGATACTTCCGTCGACCGGCAAGGAACTGTTGCAATTAACTCTGCAAGATTGGCAGGATATCGGCGGCAAGACAGGAGGTAGAATCCTGGCGAAACATTTCGCTCATCTTCGTCTGCAAGCCACTGGCGTGCATACTCCAGATTTACTGCAAGAAAACGAAAATAATGAAGAAACTGGTGAGTCTATAAATGGATATAAATTTTAAATTACTTCTTATCATTCAGTGAATATCAATTAGCGGCATTCAATATCAATATTATAATTTCCTATTCAATAATGTAACAATTATTTATAACATATGTTATATTATGTTTATATTATTGAGATTGGAAATTATAATATTGATGTAATGTCACTGTCACTATCACTGTCAGTGGTTCGGATGCAATCACTGTTGGTTGTTCGGATACAAATATTATTATAAATATTATATCTATATGTATATATATGATTATTTATAATATTATAATGATTATTTGAATTTATATTTAAATTCAAATATTTTAAATCGGATATTCAAAATAAGTTTTGAAGAAATGAGTCATAATAGGTTTTAATCTCACAAATAAAAACTATTGAAATTGTTGGAATAATTCTGATAAAAATTTAAAAATTTCTTCAAAAACTGAGATTTATATGAAAAACTTTTATTCTCTTATTCATCTCTTATTCATTTTTACCTATTTTTTCAAGAGGGATCATATTCTTTTTCCGGTTGTAGCATGATTATTGAAGATACTCTAAAAATAACAAAAATTTTAAGTCTATAGTTTTCGAGAGCTAATAATCATTACAACATTCACCTTTATATTTGTCAATATTATATAAAAGGAATATGCATTTTAATTTTCATTTAATAATACTGATATTTTTTTACGTTTACGTGTATTGCAAGCACTATATCTAAAGCGATAGGCGCTATAAATAAATGGTAAAACTTTTAGGAAAGCTTAATAGGAATTTGGTCTTAGACCTGTCAGGATTGAATAGAGAGTGACCGGAAAAGGCTAACCGTTCCCCAAGGACCGATTCTGGTTCAACTGGAGCTTATCTAAAGGTTTAACGATGGCTGCGATCTATTACAGATAAACGCGGTCCGGCAGGAAAGTAAATATCGGTATCGTCGAACGGATAGTTTTGCCCCAGACTTTTCTTCACCTTCTTCATCTTCGTCTCTCGTGTGAGACGTCTGTACATTTCCTCGATATAAAATTGAGACAACAGAATAAAAGAAAAGCAATATCAAAGAATAAAGAGAACAGCTTGTCATAAGATTTCATTTCATATAAAAATAAATTTTTACAAGAATGTGGATTGTGATATTCAGCAAAAACATTCTATCGAATAATCATGTAATAACAATATCAACTCGGATAATAATTATACTAATAATTGTACTCAGATAATAATTGTATTAATAAATATATTCAGATATTTTTATATTATTTATATTTTTATATTAGGATTGGTCGCAAGATACGAGAAAGCAAGATAAAAAAAAAACGTAACTTCCCTTTGTCTATGGTCTATTCGCTCCTCTTTTTCGTATACGGAATACAGACTTTCGAGTACCATCTCTTCGGACGTGGAAGAAGAAAAGCGAAAAGTGAGAGGTACCGAACTGTGGCAGCGTAAGCCTCCGAGATATATCGTCCGTTTGAATAACGTTACAGCTCTCTCTCTCTCTCTCTCTTTCTTTCTCCTTCTCTCTTTCTCTATGTGTGTGTCGGCCCATCTCGCCCCGGCAGCAGCCGTTTATTAAACGAATCAGTGTTATCGCGGTGAGAGAGTCCTCATGAATAAACCATCGAGTGTTTAGGGCAGCGGAAAGGTGGTGCCACGAGGGGTTACGAGCTTGCTGCGCGACCGCTTTTACCCCTCTTTCTACTCTCCTCCAGGGGCAGGCTCTAACAGGCTCGGGGGTGGTAAGCTCGCCACGGGGCGCGACTATATTGTTTTCGTGATGAGCGGCAAACGTTCTCTGGATCTTGAATGTATACGGGATAATTTTACGCGTCTCCGTCACACGCCGATGTGTCGCCCAAACTTATCACATTTACGGCATGCACTTTGTATGACGTATACACACGAATGCATATATGTATAATACATGCATCTACGATATTCCTCGAAGCTGCCTTTTCGCAGCTTTTCGCATTGTCTCCAATGTAGCGGTCAAATAATAAAATAAAATTTTACATATTGTCTAGCTTTTTTTTTCTCTTGTGTGTATATCATAGTCAAACTTGTGTAAAATACGAAAGCGTTGTATCATCAAAGTCTTTCGTTAAAACTCAAATTTTGTACTATATTTCCATACATTTTTTATTTTTTCGATTATTCTAAGATATAATTTTTGGCCATACATGTTATTATTAAGATTACAAAGATTGGAAAATATATAAATATCTTCTAAATTGACTTAACAAGTATGTATATATAATAAATATAAATCTCTATTAAAATTAATATAACATAATTATAAGTATCGACATCTATAAAATCAATATAATCGAGAGTTTTACTAGAGCCTTTTTTTCCTTAGAAATGCACAAAAAGATTTTAAATCTTCTTTAATATCTTGAATCGAATAAAGAAAGCTAAGCAATGGATATTCTATGTTTTACTTCTCCATAAACGTCAGATAAAACAATACAATATATTCAAGATTTTGCAGAAGCGCGATCTAAAAAGAAATGCCACAAATACATACACAATCTTGAAAAGCGCTTGAAAAATTCATTTACGAAGGAAGAAATTTCAAATGAATTCATTTAACCATTTTTCGCAAAATCTCGAAAGGATACTTGCGTAAATTTCGAGAGCGAAAAAGAGCAAAAGAGACAGATAGCTACCGGTAAGTACTCTAAGCGCAGTACGTTCGAAGAGGGGGGGATGTAAAGGTATTCCGTTCTTACCAAGCCCAAGAGTGGGGGTGTGAAGGGCTGAAATAACCAGGGGCAAAGGTCGCTCAGTTGCTCTCTGTCCACTGACTGGTAGAGTTTTATTCCAAATACGCTGATCTTTCATCGACAATTGACGTTATTTGTTTTTGTGCGGGTGAGTGTATTTATTCGAGATACATAGCACATTTATTGAAGCCAACGAAATGGATTTCAATTAATATTTTCTGATTTGTATCCATCATTTTTCACGAGACACAGCTGATTCGCAATGAAGTTATTTGTGCTACGCTCGCTCATGTGTAACCCTCTGTAAGCCTCTGTAAAATTATCTTCTATTAATTCTATTATTATTTTGTAAGTACGAGATATCATAGTGATATATGCGCTCTTTCTTTTTCAAATCAAGAAGATGTAAGATGTCACGACGGATAAACGTTAAGATCGCTAGACTGTCATTATATTGAAAGGAAACGTATTCTCAATGAACGCAACTCCGGAGATGATGGACGTGTCGTTTATCGGTTTCCGAAGGCGCCGTTTATATGGCATAGGATTAGGCGAAAATATCAGATTCGATGCGTAATGTGGAGAATTCAGACGCATCCTCTACATCTTCAGCAGGACACCAGATTGCATCCTTCGGCCGCTGCGATTCTCTATAACGGTAAAATAAATTCAGACATAAAAGAAAATTAAGCGAGAAGAAATTGAGATACAGTCACGCATCTTGTCGCTTGCATATATCTGTACATATGTTATAGCACATGTGTTTGTGTAATACAATCTGTAATGAATACGATGATAAATAAAAAATAGAATTTTATAAATAATAAAATTTTAATGTAGAGAAAAGATATTGAAATAATAATTATTTGATTTTTCACATTCTTTCACGGTTGAATCCGACAAACAAATGAATGCGATCAACAATTATTGTGATTTCGTTGCGGATCTTGTGAATGTGACGAAGTATTTACATGGATAAGGTGAAAGGATAAAAATCCATGTGTTAGTCAGAGCGAGAAAACAAGTGTAGTGAGAAAAGCCGACAATCCATTGTTCTTCTCTCTCTCTCTCTCTCTCTCTCTCTCTCTCTCTCTTGTCGATGTAGACCTCTGGTCTTTATCTGTCTTTCTCTGTCTCTCACGTTTTAAATGAATCAAGAACGGAGTTTGGTGCATGCGTATTTCGTTTTCTGCTCGCAGAGAGGTTCAGCCTCCTACAACGGACTTGCTCGCTGATTGGATCAACGGCTGGAGCCGGTAGCTCGGGGGCGGTCGGAGGCGGACAGGTTCAGCTCTGGCAATTCTTGCTGGAGCTGCTCTCAGATTCGTCTAACTCATCCTGTATCGCGTGGGAGGGCTCGAATGGGGAATTCAAGCTCACAGATCCAGACGAAGTCGCACGCCGCTGGGGTGAGCGCAAGAGCAAGCCTAACATGAATTATGACAAGTTGTCACGCGCGTTAAGGTAATAAGCAGATATTGTTTGCCTTTTATGCATATAATGATTCAATCGCATATATCGTAAATCACATTTATTGCTTATTTCTCCCTTTCGCTCTCTTCTTCTGTATATTTTAGATTTTATCTTTATATACATCTTTATATACATCTTATGAACTTTTTCCAAGATTTATAATAAAGATGTGCGAATCAAGGATTTTTTACGACACATTGAATTGAATCAAATCGACAAAATTTAAAATTAAGATTCAGATCAAATTATTAAATAATTTTTAATTAACAAGATAATTATTGTTATCAAAATCATGCGTACCCTTCTTTTATTTTTGCAAAAAATAGCCGCATTATTTTTTTTTTTAACGAGAAACATGATTTATAAGATGTCAGTATATGTATTATTCGCGTTTGAATTTTCTAGATTCGAAATTTTCAAATAATTCAAGTTCGAATTATAAAGATTCAAATCCAAATTATATTTGAATTGTATTTGAATAATTCGCACATCTCTAATTTGTATATTTGAACACTTTGAACAATCCATGTGCCACACAATGTCATTAAAAGTGGACAAATTATTTCGCAGATATTACTATGACAAGAATATAATGACGAAAGTTCATGGTAAACGTTACGCTTACAAATTCGATTTTCATGGTTTGAGGATGGCTTGTCAGTCGCAAGCTGGCATTATGTTGGAAGCGTCAACGTCATCGCGTATGACAAATGCAAGCTGTCATCCTCATCATCAAGTACATCGTACTCATCGTTTATATCCAGTGGGATCTGCTCAACATTCCGTACCATCCTCTTTACAATCAGAACTGTCATCCTCTAATCAACAACAGCCACCACCACCACCACCACCACCACCTCCACCACCGCCACCACCACCGCATTATTGTTGGCCATATCATCGATATTCACCACCGACATAACATTATCTCAAATCTCTGTTGAGCTTATGAGATTACGTCAGTGATATGGACTTCAGTAGACGATAACTTGTTTCTTTTTTTTTTTTCATTGTTTCTCTTTATATATCTCTCTTCTTCTTTTCCTCCTAATCTCACAGACGCACCGTCTTCTTCAAATTTGAGAAGAAATAAAATATTGAGTCTCTTAATTTTTCTTGTCAACTTTTATCACTGTTAATCAACATCCTATATTTATATAGGAACGAATTGTAAATAATAATTAATAATAGCATTCAATATATATTGAATAAGCATGAAATGTTTCAAATGTTTAAAGTGTGACTATTATATCGAAATCTTTTCATTGTTTCACTATTGTGCTCCAAGATGCACATAGAAACTTGTAAATACATTAATATTCGAAGCAATACACAGTACGTTTTCTTTATTTCTTATTATTGTCGTGACTATTGTTCGAGTTTCTCACTACTTTTATAAAATCGTATTCGTCATGTATATTTTGTATAAACACGATTTTCTATCTAATAAATATACTTAAGATATGAACATGTTGTAAACCAAAATAAAAACTCATGTCGATATATCGCAATTGCTATCAATTATTCTTAAAATAGAACAAAAAATTAATAATATTGTATTACATTTTGATTTTTGATTTCTTCAAAAATGTTTAATAATGTTACATAATCTATTTTTAATTGCTAAGATTATGATCAAACTAATAATACAACCTGTCAAGTAAGAGCGTGGTCGATTTTACTCATAGCTGATAAAAGATATGATTTCTAAATTTTTCGTAAGTCAATAGATGGAAACTTTGTCCTTGATGCACTATCAAAGCATGTGTTCGGGGAGTTCGCTACCGTGCTATCAACCCTATCAATTCCATTCACGGAGCCAAAATAGCAGCACTTACAGTGCGAGAATTAATAGATTCTTCATCGTCTGAAAGCGAAAAATTAGAAATAATAAAAAGAAATATAAATCCAAGAAGACATACCGAGAATCGAAAATTATGCAAAAAACAAAGTTTAAAAAAATCCTAAAATAAAAAAAAATTAAATTAATTAAATTAAATTTTAATCTTTTAATTTTAAATTTTTTATCGAAATTTAGCAAAAACTTCAAAATTTTCGAATTGACGGACAATTCACTGTTAATCTTTTAGCTACGGCTGGACTTTCCGCGGTACTGTATCTCTATATGGCACGGTTTGACGCGAATTACGCATAAATAATGCAGTACTGCGATTTGTGTCTGGTTGTGGACGTTTCCCACTACGAAATTACATCAGAATATATATGAATAAATTATAATTTATATATTGTCATGTAAAGGGTTTGAAAAAAACATAAAAAAGATAATATATGCGAGAGCTATTATAGTGACATACCTTTCAAAAAGATGACATTATAATGGCTAAGAGGTTAACTACTGTTCGTGGAATTCGCAAACGCTACCAAACGCTACCCATGCACTAAGCTTTGCACTAAGCACTCGAAAGCGTTGATAACGTTGAAAGCATGAAATTATGACGTAACAACGCTACCGATTATGACGTCACAATAGTGTTTGGTAGCGCTATTAGTTAGCTCTCCGAACAGCAGTAGTGCTAAATAGCGCTAATAGCGAGCTTCTCGAACGCACCCCAAAAAAGATTCAGTTTATCGTTGATTTTTTTAAGAGAAATACGTTAAGCGTCACGAGTCAAATACGCGTCGCGCTATGAGGCTATGTTCCTTTGTACTCACCCGAAAGGTCCGAAAATGTCGCAATCAGCGGCTGCTAAATACATAAGAAAATCGAAATTTTTCGTACACAATTGGGTTAAGCGGTATAATAATGCAAAAAATGTTGATGATTTATCGGGACGTGGCTCGATAGGCAAAATGGACAAAAGAGACGTTGAAGAAATAGTGAATCTGTTTTCGCGAAATCCTGACTTAACACTGCGTCAAGGACAAGCTAAATTGAAGCAGAAAGGTTTAGATATATCGTATGAAACTATCCGAACTTATCTCCGTGCTTATGACAGCGCAACCTAATAAAGAAACCTTTGTTGACTAAAAAACATATGACGAAACAACTTGCTTGGGCACACGAGAACATCGACCGAGATTTTAGCAACGTAATTTTTACTGACAAATATTCTATATGGGCACGTTGTATCCTCACGCGAATCAACCTCCACCAATAGATTTGTCCAGCGGACCGTTAAACACGTAAAAGTACATCTTTGGGGTTGCTTCACAAAGCAGGGATTCGGCACTTTGCACCTGTCTACCTACAACTTGAATGCCGAAAAAATGCTGGAAATTTATAAAAAGGCTTTGTTACCGTGTGCGAAACGTTGGTTTATTAACAAAAACGAGAACTGGATTCTACAGGAGGGTAACGATCCCAAACATCGCAGCAAGCTCTGTATCGAATGGAAGAAGCAATCTGGCATCGTTACAATGAATTGGCCGTCGCAATCGCCCGATGCAAATCCTATCGTGTGGGCATACATTAAATACAAGCTTTGTAGAAAACGCACGTACACTTTGAAGCAATTATCTCGCGAGATTCGTCGAATTTGGAGGTCCTTGCCGCTAGAATACGCTGTCAATTTGGTCGAAAGCATGTCTCGGAGATGCCAAGCAATTATTGATGCCGATGGTGACTGGACGCATTATTAACATAATTATGTATCTTTGTCCTGATCGAATATATGCATATATGTATTTGAAAATTTTTTTTAATAATTTTTTTTATAAGTTAATCTAACCACGCTCTTATTCGAGAGGCTGTAACTACGTAATTTAATGCGTATTTCGAACAAGTAAGAAAGATAAAAAATAAAAATTAATAAAAATAAAAATTAAAAATTTTTACTAACGCTTGTATCATGTAATGCAAGATATCAAAGAAAGGCTAATTAACAAGCAAATAATAGGTAGAAGAAATAGGTTAGAAATAAATATGAATAAATATGAATAAACTTGAATACAAAATACTAAATAATTGAACGTTTCGGATTGCACAGAATCTTCTTCAGCTTTGAAAATTAACATTTTAACAAATTCAAAAGACATGATACAGTAAATTGATAATTCTGAATTATAAATATTGACATGATTTTCATCACAAAAATAAATGAAAAATTAAATAAAGATTGAATATATGTATTCGAAGTAGCATTATATGGTATCATTGTAAATAAATAAATAAATAAATATAATGTAGAGGTGAAGATTAAAATGTATAAAAAGTAATATACAGTCAACGGTTAAAATTAAAAAAATGATATATAATAATAAATGTTGTTCATGGCATGCAATTATAAATAAGAATTAAAAAATAATTTTAAAATATAAATTGTAAGAAATGTAAAAAATATGTCAGATATTTTCAGAATCTATACGCGCTTTAGGAGAATGCAACATTACCATTTTTTCAATCAATTGTTGATAATTTTACTATATTAAACCGAAAGACGCAGATTCCTTTCATACCAACATAAACGACGAAAACAGTCGAAAACGGACATGGTGTCGCTGTGATCAAAATGACGCCATGACGCATGCTCAGAGCCTCAGAGTTCGGTAGCTTCCCTTCGTTCCTTTGGAAAGGTAAACGATACCACGCTGGATATTCGTGTAGTTAAAATCCGTTTATTATGTTGAAATCATCATGCATTTTGTTCGCGAAAGCGTAGGAATGGATTTTCTATAGTGAAAATAATAACGTCTCGCATTTATTTTCAGTTCTCCTGCTCGCTTAAACATGTCTGACGTGGAAAAGTGAGTACATTAGATGCTTCTAACATTACGCATTTATTCCTTTTATTTTGCGATTAGATTTAACAGATTAATGAAATCCTGAGTATATGAAGCTGTATAAATTTCAGAAATGTTTGATTGTAAGGAAACAAATTTGTGTAGTAAATATACATGATATGCTTGCTCCGGATTACAATAGATGGTATCGGCCAAGTTGAATGAGAATTTATTTTAGCTTCGAAAAAAGTATCATTGGAACGAATCATGAATTATTCTTTTTTTTTTACAATTTTTGTTTTAAATCTAAATGATAGAAAAAGATAATTTATTTCTTAAATTTTTATTTCTTAAATTACATAAATTTCATAGCCATAACTTTCTAACTGGATTTCATTATTGATAAATCTGATATGATAAATTAAGAATTTTTAAGGAAACTATCAAAAGAGATTTTATAACAGCTGATAAATAAAGATAAAACAATATTAACCTAACTTAATGAGAAAAATTAAATTTTTAAATAATAATGTTCATATTACTTTACTATATCTTTTTATTAAAATTGTTTTGAAATTATAGCGATGATGTGCCATCTGCGATGGCAGCAGGTGGTAATATGGATGTAAATACTGCACTGCAAGAAGTTTTAAAAAATTCTCTTATTCATGATGGTGTTGTACATGGGCTCCATGAAGCTGCCAAAGCTTTAGACAAGTAAGATACAGAAATATTAAATACAATTATAAATATAATTATAAAAAACGAATATTATTAAACATATGCATAAGAAGATATAAAGATTTGTTCTTTTGAGAGTTCTTCTAATAAATTAATGTATTCTGCTCTAATATAGAAAACAAACATGTTATAAATAATTTTAAATATAATATATAATTTACTAATAAATGTTTTATTTTGCAGACGACAAGCTATGCTCTGCATCCTAGCAGATAACTGTGATGAACCAATGTACAAGAAATTGGTTCAAGCATTATGCAATGAACATCAAATTCCATTGATAAAAGTAGATAATAATAAAAAATTAGGCGAATGGGCTGGCTTATGTAAAATTGACAGTGCTGGCAAAGCGCGCAAAGTTGTTGGCTGCTCATGTGTCGTTATAAAGGTAAACTATACCAAAATTCTAAAATCATTTTTCTAATAAAAACTTATCAAAAAACTTAACAACATTATAAAGAAATAATTATAAAACAATATATATGATGATATTTGGGCTCCCTCTACTGAGTAGAACCCGTATATTAAACAAACTATGCTGTAATTATGCCTTTCTGATATATTTTTGTTAATACTTTCTTTTTTCTTATTGTTATTATTTTGTTATTGAATATGTTTATTGTCTTTAGGATTTTGGTGAAGATACACCTGCCAAGGATGTTCTAATGGAATATCTTAAACAAAGCGCTGTACATTAAATTCTTTTAATAAAATATTTGACATAAACCACATAAATATATTCGCTCCCAGAGTTGTAGAAGTTTCTTTAAAGTATATATCATGTATATATCATAACGATTGCAAGCAGCTCTTTTTCTCTAATAATTTTGAAATGTGAAAATGTCTTTATTGAAGAAAGTATTGCAATCTGCGATTGTACGATATTTTATTATAATTAAAAAGAAATTCATGTTAAACGTTCATATTGATGAGTACATGACATTCTTAAATATTGAATATATTATTACTGTTATATATTATTACTGTTTAGCTTCTGTTATCATATTGCAAATTTTTTTATGATTTTCCCAATCTTTCACTTGACATTCTCTATAAGAAAAAGGATTATGCTTGTTTTCGATTTAGCGTATTTTAGTAAATTATAAAACATTTCCTACATACCTGCTGCAATACCAGACTTCTTTGCATCTGGAACATCGTTTCTTAGACGTTTCTTGACATAACGAACATTTTTTCGTTTTTATACGATCCAACTTATCTAAATCGTAAACGTCACTCAAAATTTGTGCTGCGTCTTTAATGTAATCAGTATCTGTTGTAAATAGGTATTTGGACTGATGTCTAGCCAATTTTTTCCACTTTTTATGATGCTTTTCCAAAATAGCTGATTTTATCTGTATTTAATATATTTATTTTATATTTATTTTATTTTCATATACAAGATATAATATTGGTAGTAACTCATAAAAGAATAAAAAGTAAAAAATAGGGATATATACCTGTGGTATAACTTCTACATGAATCGGACAGATTGAGTTCGTGGATGGCATCGCTGGAGACATATTTAAATAAGATAACCATTGCTTAAGCTCTATTAAAGGAGCAATTTGATCTAGTACATCCTCATGCAAGTGCCTCTGCAACTATAAAAAAAATTTATATAAAAATAAGTAATGAATTCATTTAATAATAAGTATGCTGATAATAATATAAATAGCACCTTCATCAATTGGGACAATTTATGCTCTGTGATTTCATAATACGGGGCACATTTTGGATTAAGAAGCAATTCACGCAAACCAAACCATACTTGTCCTTCTCTCTTATTAATTTTTCCAATTTCACTTTCTTTAATTTTTCTCCAGCTAGCTTCATACGTTAACATCTCACCTGTATAAAAATTAATAATGATTTTATTATTTATTATCATGTCAAAATTTTTATACTACAATGGACATTAGAAATGGAAAATACATATTACCATCCTCATTTTGCTTCTTCCATGGTTGATTTTCTATTAGCTGCACAAACAAATATGGAACATCATGTGTGGCTAGCATACGTGAAACTGCACAAAGAGGTAAATTGTCCAGAATTTCTATTAGATAATGAAAGATCGAGATACATCGCATCCCAATATCAAACTCGAATGTCTTTTGTTTCTCTATTATTTCTTCCAAGCAAGAACTGATAAAAAGCATGTTTAAAAATTATATATATATATATATATATATATGTAAATTTCTTTTATATGATATATAATTATATTCTTTTATCTAAGA